GGCACCGACATATACACAAACACAACAACCGACACCACGCCCGACACTTCCTACTCGAAATTCATTTCTCCCCGCGGCGCATATAAGTTTGACATGTGCGGGTGAGATCCTTGGTCACTGACCATTACAGATTTATAGAAGAATACACAAAACACGGCGCAATGGACAGCCGTGTGTTAGAACTGTTTGCATTTAAAAAGTATGGAGGCAAAATCTATAATGCTAGTCCGTTGCAATAAATAATGATATGTTAACAATAAATCTTAAACCGGTCGTGAAAAAGTTCAAATTTTTGTTATTTTCTTGCTTGACCAGTGTTATGAGCAGTCCGACTAGCTTGAATCAGATAGGAAAACAAATTATTGGGATTTTGTCATTACGTATACAATAATAAATGAAAATGATCCTTGCGCAAAGCATTTTTTATATATTTTTGTGAAGGACATCCGGGCATCCGCCCAACACTTCACTTCCGCTAGCTGCAGCAGTTGCAGTACGGGAGCAGACGCCTTCACTTTTGGGGCGTTTTGATGCAGTTTGTTGTCGTATGTCGTGTCGGTGTCGAGAAGAGCGGTGAGGCTTGGGAGTTTGTGACCGGTGCTATTCGTGAACACTGGTGTGGGGCGCTGATGCGTCTTTTTTTTTATACTGCCACCACCCCGAACTTTGAAGATACACGGGCCCGTAGCAGTGTATTATGCTGAATCGCGAGCTCCTTCTCTGTTGACGTCGCTTTCCTGGTACCACTCGTGGAAGCGTTTAAACAGTGTGCACCGTCTCGCCTACATCCCCGGTGACGTACTCGACCTGTTGAAACTTATTGCTTCCGTCATTTTAGAGTACGCAAGGCAGTTATCTCGTTGTTCTGTTTTCGGTTATAAAAGCAAGGCAAAACGCTCGTAGTTCCCGCCCTCAGTACACGTTGGACATCTTCCACACTTTGACACCGGATAACTGAATGAACGAGGATTTACATTCACTTCCGAGGTTACTCTCGCCGCTTCCTCACCGTTGAGCAGCAGGATGAGCTGGCGACAAGCCGCGGATGAAAGGCTGGAGCATCAACAGCCCAAGCGCACTCGGTGCCGATGCGGGCGACGCGGGTTTCTGTCAACCAGGAGGCCAGCACAAACCGTGACCATTCCAGCTCTTCGTCATGACACGGTGTTGCAGAGAGCAGGGTAAAATACAGCTACGCGGATCACCGAAGCAAACGACTGCTATCTTAAATCTTGGCTTGTGATTGCGCCTTTGTAGTAGATCATCTTATTCGTTTTGCTGGAGAGACGCAAACGACGGGCGTAACAAAATCGCTTGCATATTCCGCATATCTCACAAAAGCATTTATCCTGTCACCTTGCGAAAAGCGCGAAACACGGAGTCCGCACCGTCCTAAGCTTCCCGTTTTTTACCTGCTTTAGAGCAGTTTGTACCTGCTAGTAGATATACCTACTGAAACTGAAACAGGGCAGTGCCAGAGAGAAAGAGACAAAGTTGAGAAAGCTTGCTCGCTCTCTAATTTCTCAACTCTCAAGTGATTGTACCATAATAAATGCACCAACGCGTCTTCCAAAATAAAGAAAGAGCACTACGTTCACAACATAAAAAATGGTCTCAGTACATGCATCTGTGGGCAGGTAGGAAACCTTGCCCTTATTTATTCACGCCGCATGATTGCCGCAACAAACTCGTTGCAAGACCGAATCATACTCGAGCGGTGTGCGTCGCTATGCAAACGCAGTCCAACACGAAGCATAAAAAACGGCAGATTTAAGACAACAATCCGGAGTCCATTATTCAATTAAAACAACTTAATTTTGTTGAAAACGCCCGCTGCTTCTTACTCACGGTATGTGTCGGGATACTTCCACAGTTCGAAACGGAACGAGGGAAGATTTACTTTTAAAAAGGTATTGATGTCGCTGGCCTGTAATAAGGCGGAGCCTCCTGGGGCAATTCGCGTCTCCAGCTCGACGCTCGCCCTCCCGCGGCGGAAACGGGAAGCGCTCTAGTGAGGGTCCCCCGATTCTCCTGCTCAGCGGGCATGGTAGAACTGCTCGCGATCATGGCTCGTGAAATGTCGTTTCCGAATGCAAACAACACTCTTCACTGTCCCAACGTAGTGCTGCAGCCAGTATGGGATTGTACCTTACTGGAGAGTTTTAGGATTGCGCATAGAAGCAAACGCAAGCGGTGTGCGTTTGCGTTAGAGTTGCGTGCCCCACGTTGTGCGTGCGCCTCATCGCCATGCGCCATCCAAGACCGCAATTTCGGGCTCCGCGCACGCGCAGTGTGGAACGCGCAAAGCTAGCGCAAACACACAGGGCTTGAGTTCGCTCGTATACGCAATATTAAAACTCACTACTGTTTCACCGGCTTCCAACGCCAACGAAACGTGCTGCAGTGAGCAGACGTGCAAGCAAGTAGGCGTTCCTTCGAACTGGAAAGGCTGAGATTGGCAAAACGACGGCGATCAAATACAAAAGTAAATAAATGTGATGAAAAAACTAGTAATTAAAAAAAGGCATTTTTTTTAACTTTTGGACTTTTGGTCTGGAAGTATATTGGCGGCGACTTTGGACGTTTCGCCGATTGTTAAAAGTCGCGACTTCGATAGCACAATATACTTTACCCACAATTAATGTAATTTTACATGGATTTCTCACATTATGGAGAATGTTTTCATTGATTTTAGACTATTTTATTTTCTTTGTAGGAACCAGTGATGATAATTAGCACAGTTTTCATTGTCATATTTCTTCGCGCGTTTAAAATTATATCATAAGCAACAAATTATATTAGAGCTTGAAGAATTACTTATTCAAATATGTGAATTTTAATAATATTATTATTAATACAAATCGCGGCAATGGATGCCTCTAATTAACGCCAAGATCACGAGAATACTCTATTTAACCAAAATAGTCTTTCCAGAAAGGTATAATTCTGTTTCCTTTTTAGCACATGAAAAACTCTGACATAGTTATCAAGATAGACAAATAGTTAAACGCTGGATGTAATATGAAGTCCTACGCGTCACGCGGTGCTATAAAAGCACACACACACACACTCACACACACTTCAGCTGTCTGACTCGGATTCCGTCTTGGGTTGTTGCAGTGAGAGCAGCGTTTATTAGTTTATGCGTTTTGTGGACATATTGTAATAATTGGAATTATTCTCTTATTCTTGTGCTGGGATAATTGTCATTATTTCCCATGACAATTATCTGAGCGAGAAAAAGGCGGCGAGAACGCACAGATATCAGCACTGATTCTTTCAACAACTACGAATTTCAGCCTGCATCGAACAGTACGTCACAAAATAAAGTTTCCGCGAACAACTTTTCTAAGTAAATAATTACGATGTGAGACACATCTTGAGTCATGAAAGAATCCAAAATTAAGACCTCTATCGAGAAATTAAATCCAAAATAGAGGTAAGTTTCGGTTTCGCTCCAGAATTAAAACGCGCATCCTTCCGTAATTAATACGCTAAACACCGTTCTTGTTTTCAGGTTAAATGGGTGACCTACGCTCATAAAATATGAGCTTCCTCGTATTACCAGAAATAATTTACGTCGCTCAGTGAAGCCAGTACACTAGACAGGCTCAACAGCGGCACGCATCTCTGACCCTCACTAAACCCGCCATCTTGGAAAATGAGTGGCGCCACCTATAGTTAGTTGGAGTCGCGAATAACGGGGGCGCGCGTTAACCCATCCGCCGCGCTGCGCTTTACGCCGCTTCGCGGCGACAGTCTGAGGCGGCTCATTACAAAAAATGTGAACCCACATGTGTGTTTGTATTGGCCCACACGTAAACGCCGCTTCGCGGCGCCCAACTATTCGCTAAAGTATCATTTGGTGAACCGCCCCCTCAGGAGGCTCCGCCTTATTACAGGCCAGCGACATCGAACCGTCATCCACCACGCAACAAACAATTTGCGCTCCGTGTTAAAAGCGTGGTTCAAACAGACCCGGAATACAAAGCACCGCACCACACACGACGAATGTTTCAGCTCTTTTTCGCATCGCCGGGTTGCACCAAACAGAACGAGATCGCCGAAGTCAACGCCGCGCTGTCGTGAACCTTGGCTTGTGGTTGCGAACTCGTGGACCCTGTGACTCCCTTCGCTTTCAAAGCACACGCGACGATTACGAATGCTACTTTCCGTCTTCCAGGAACATCACAGGGGCACTTCTCCGGTCACGTCTTCACTATGTGCTCGCAAACTCCGAAGCTCTATGCGAAGCTTCTCGCGTCCCGTCAAACCAAAACAGTAGCGACGCCATGCGTACTTGCCAGATTTTCTCCGGTCAAACAAAAACAACGAAAGCCAACCGGCGCTTGCTTCCAGCGTACAGTCGGGAGCAAAAGTTTACGGGGCACGGGAGCGCGTGCCGAAATGCATTGCCGCGCCGTGCAGCGGCGCGTTGCCGCATTAAAAAGCGGCGTTTTGCGCATGCGCATCCTTCGTGCTGGCAGTCGTGTCTCTTTCGCTCGTTTCTATCCGAATCACTCCTGATAACCGGGATCGACGGCAGGGGCGCAAATTGCCGTTTCGCTGGCTGCCATGTCTCGCGTCCTCTTTAGCTGCCTCAGCAGCCGCGCTGGGTGACGGAGCGTCTGGTTGTCCCCCCCTTTCCCCCCCGAGCTCCGTCACAAAGCGCGGCCGCGGCGGCTGAGGCGGCTGAAGCAGACGCACAGCATGACAGCCAGCGAAGCGTTAACTCGCGCCCCTGCCATAGAGTAACACAGTAAACGAAAAGAGGGGACACTCGAGCCGATTCGCGGCCCATGAGCTAGGGACTACGACGACCGTTCAGTGGCACTGCAGTCACACACCTAATTTAGACATTTATCATATTTTCACCCTTGATAAATAACTCCACTCTATAACCTAACATTTCAAAATTAATAGCAGTTCCAAATACTTTTAAAAACAATTTGGACAGCTGCGGCTTTGGCTGCGGCTCAGTGGATGGCTTTGGGGCCGTCGGCTCGGCGGACGGCAGCTTTCCGGTCACGTCGCTCGAAAGGTCGGTTGGGCTGCACTTCAGTGGCTCGTGCGGGCTTCTCGACATTCTTCCGTTGTTAGAAAGGTGAGTCGTTTTACTGACACCGTATTTTGCTTGCTTTTGGCTATAGTTGGATGCACGGGCTAAAGCGCGAGCTAATTGCTCTGGATGAAGCCTCGGCAGTTGCACGTGCACGAGTGCGCTCGTGCAGCGAGAGCGCCAGTTAAGGCACTCAAGGCATACTCAATTTCATACCTCATGTGCATCGCTGTCAATGCTGGTAACGCGAGCGCGTGGCTTTTGCGCCAGCAGCTATGACAGCGTTGTACCTGGCGCCATGTATGAAGCAGGGTAGGTACCGCAGGGGGTACAGGTAGCCTTCATGCGCGCTTTGCTTAGGGCGAGGCCATCCTAAGCAAAGCGCGCTCACGAGGAAAATACAAAGAAATGGAAGGTGACAATACCGTGAAGGCTTTTCTTTATCACCACTCTTTGTTGTCGCTTTAACAATTTTGGTTCCCGAATTGCTATGAAATGAAGCACCAAATTCGCGTAATCTCAAATTGACTTGTGCTATTTTCGTTTCCCAGCTGATGCCGCCAGGATGTTTGGCTACGGCAGCTACTGTTGCGTAGCCTGGTGCGGAAACAATGGGAGAACGCGCAAGAAGCCAGGAACAAAGTTCTTCCGAGTTCCACGAGACGACAGTTGCGCCATGCTATTCGAAAAGGGCAGCCGGATTTAGTTGAATTTCTCGGAAAACAGCTTCCTTGGATTGCGTCTTCGAAGTTGGAAGGCAAACGTCAGCCACACACTATCATCGGGTGGCAAATTACGATCAAGGCCGTCTTGCTGCTGTGGGAAGATGTTTCCCAGAATTACGACTTTGAGTTTCTCCTCACGCGTCGACTTCAACAAGACCCACTTGAACAGATGTTTGGACACATAAGACAAAAGCAGGGATGCAACTCGAATCCCAATGTGCCTCAGTTCATATCTGGCCTGAAACACATTGGGATTCAGAAGCTCCTCACACTGTCACCGAAGGGAAATGTCGAGGATGATGAGACGGACCTCCTCCAGGAGTTGTCCCCATTTTCACTTAGTAGCGAGTCACTCGTGGATGTTGTGCAGCATGTCCCACAGGACGACTTTCCATCTTTGGAAAACATCACTGAGTTGGCAGCCCATGAGGAGTGCCATGTTATTGACAACTCTGCTACTTATTATGTTGCTGGCTTCATTGTTAAAATGTTTACTGAGAAGGCTGCAGAAGGTTGTTGTTGTCCTGACTTGCTTAGAGATGAGCACAGTAACCTTGATGAGCCACATCAGTTTTTTATGATGCTGAAAGCGTACCACGTCCCAGGCAAGCTCTTCGGCAACTTGACTGTGCCATCAAGTGCAGCTTTCACACTTGTTCAGCAGCTCGAGTCAATCTTTCTTTCTGTTATCGAAAGTGTAGCGCACCTCCGAAGTGTTTGTGAAACATTGTACATAACTCTCTCGCGTGTCGGTGATTTTAATTTTTGCACTCCAGAGTGTCGTGCACGGTTTTTAAAAATGTTTTGCCGAATTCGATTGTGCTGGCATGTCCGTTTTGTAAATAGAAACTTGGATAAAGTTCGCTTCCATTCTCGCGTCTCTGGTGTACAGTTTGAAACGTTCAGTGGGTAGAAGATGATGTTTCAGCCTTTATGTTGCATCTCATAAGATATCTGCAACAGTAAAATTAATTTTATTGGGATTTTATTGGGCCGTGCAGACTGCACACTAGCCATTTGTTGGGATTATTTGCAGTTAGTAGGTTGCACTCTACTGGTCTATTGTAATTACTGCTTTTTTAGATGGTCATGTCTGTTTTTTTCCTATTGTGGTCATGTGGAATGTGTAAGTGCCCATATTGATCTTTGTTAATACTCTCTTAGGTCACTCATCTCGGATGCAACTTTCTTTTCTTTTGGACACTGTTTCTGCTTTACACATATGTGGAGCGTGAAGGAGATTGAGATCAGGGGTGTCCACCAACCTGGCAAGCCTGAAATGCTCAGGGAATTTTGGATCACCTGGAAAAGTCAGGGAATTATCAGGGAAACTGTCAAAAGGTTGGCTAAGTCAGGGAAAGTGACGAGTAAAAGTGGCACGGTGGTGCGGAACGAAGCCCGGCGATCAGGTGTCGTCACGGTTCTGCTGAATAACATTGCCCGAAATGTCATCCTTCGAAGGAAGGAACAGCCAGGAAATTTTATCAAAATAGTCAAGGGAAACCTGGAAAAATCATGGACTTTGGAAAAGTCATTGGGTAGACACCTTGTAAGATGTACCTAATTAGGCAGTGCAGATTGCATGCCAAGCCTTGGTGGAATCATTTGTGATGAGTGGGTCGCAGGTACACCGGGCACCAGTCTGATTTAGCAGTCTTTTGTCAGCCATTTCATGTGCGCTTGTTATGGTAGTGGTCATGGTAAACCTTACATGTTAAATGTGACATGTTAAACGTGACATGAACGTAAAACCTGTATTAGACCGTCGGTTGGCTTTCAGTTCTTGTTATTTTGGTCATTATTGTTACTTAAATCAGCAGGAGCAAGGTATTTTTAATTCTGTAGTTCAGGCTGTGTTAGGGTTATTTAATGACTATGTCACAGACTAAGAAGGTCTATACTAGTGGCAATCTTGTTTAGGCATTTACTTGTCTGTTTTTCTCATTGTGGTCATCGTGCATTTCAGATTTCTTCTGCTGAGCGTTTTATTTGCATACAAATTGCATTGGATCAACGAGCTTTGATACTGCATGGCCAGTTTTTTTTTAGTATGTGTTGCTGATGCTGCATATGTTATGTGTGTGGTGCACCTTCCATGGAACATGCTTGAGAACACAAAACAGGCTTGCAATCCAATTGCAGTTGTAACATTGTAATTCCAGTTGTTTGATAAGATTTTCATGCATGCCATAATATGCTTGTCATTTTTTTGTAGGATGTATTGTTTGTGAATCCTTGATGCACGGTGCTTATGTTTTGTAGTTTTGGTAATTATATACGAGGCACAAACTGCCCACCGTATTTTTGTTGCGAAAATAAACTGTGTTGGTTACTCCCTGGTGGTGTTCTTCTGGACAGCACAAACCTACATGGGTTTCCTGGCTTGTAAAGTCAGTGTTAACTGTATATAGTATTGTCCATTAGTTGTCCGCATTAGGAATCGTACATACGTGTGAAGTAATTACAGCTGAAATTTACCATGCGGGAATAGTAGGAAAAACATAACTCGCGGAAAACCAGATGGCGCAGGCTACCGCCCAATACACTACGCCAAACTATATATCTATCCATCCGGTAAGTATTTTTATTGTGACTCCATTCATTCAGTTGGGGACTACGACGGCCGCTGGGTGCGCTCCCTGCCAGCTAAATGGGCCGCTGGGGCCTATGGGAGTGTCCGCTCTTTACCTTGTGTAGATTACTCTATGCCCCTGCCGCCAGCTCCTGTTATCAGAAGTGCGTCGGAAAGAAACGAGCGAAAGAGATAGGATAGCGTGCACGAAAGGCGCGCATGCGCAAAGCGCGGCTCCTTAATGCGGCGCCGCGCCGTCGAACGGCGCGTCAATGCATTCCGGCACGCGCTCCGGTGCCCCGCAAACTTTTGCTCCCGACTGTACATCGGAGTTGCGCTTGCGCCGTGGCCAGATCGCCAGATCGCTTGCAGTTGAAGGTTGAAGCAAAAACGAAACCAACTGCAATGTCACGTGTTCACATCGAGGACACGCTTTTTATATCCATTTTAACTGTTTGGAACGAATAATTAGACCCATAACTTTATTTGTGGTGTCTAAGAAACTGTTATCAGGACCCCTAAACTAAATACAAACATGGGCGACATGAAGCAAGCCGCATTGCCATCGACCAGAAGATGGCGGCGAGCCCGGTAAGCGTGGGTTTCGCCAACGTCCTGCGACATGGCGCAATTGCTTTTGGTGCATATCTGTCTCCGAGACATGTTTCTTTCCGCGGCATTTGTCTCGACGGTCCTTTCTAAGTGTGTCCCCAAGCATTCCGGTGCTTCGATAGCCGGCAATGCCGCGGTCGTCGCCGGGGGCGATGCGTGTTTTCGAGGTCGGCTACACGGTTATGCGTGTATGACCGAACCAAAACACGTTTTTTACAACCTCGCATGATTTCTGAACGAATTATCCGTTACTCATCGTGTAAATTTATGGTAATTTGTGTAAATGGCGTGTTTTTCACCCCAAATATTCGCCAAATACACGGGACTTACTAAGTGTAGTTCTCTTCCTCCCAGGCAAGAGCGCCCAAAGGCTCCAGCACCAAGTGAAGAGGAATGGGGTGCTTTCTTTGATACGCTCAAAAGCTCTGGTCTTCGCCCAGCTCTAGCTGCTACTGATGCTAGATACAGTGACATGTATGTGCCGAAGACCAGCTCCACAGCTTGCCACCTACTTCAGCTGTACGACAAGAGTGCCTGTGACCTGACATGAGAGGAGCTCCAAGACAGGACAGCTGGAATGGCCGACCTGCTTGAGATTGACAACTCGACAATTGCAGCAATTGAACAGAGGACACGGCTGCAGAGCGGAAGCCGCTCATGGTTCAAACATCGCAGCGGTCGTATCACGGCATCGAATCTCCAATCGGTTTGCCACACCAGTTTAGAAGATCCCTCAAGATCCCTCCTCAAGCGAATATGCTACCCCGAAAAGAACCGCTTCTCGACGCCAGCAACTAGGTTTGGCATTGAAAATGAACCAAAGGCGATTGATGCATACACAGCACTCGCCACGGCAGCGCACGACGGAGTCACCTTCAGGAGGCCTGGACTTACTATCGCACAAGGACGCCCGTTCCTTGCGGCTACTCCTGATTTGCTTGTGGATTGCAGCTGTTGTGGGAAAGGAGTAGTAGGAGTAAAGTGCCCCTACAGGCTGCTGAATGCACCCTTAAAGTCTTTAGCAAAGGACAAAGGCAGCTGTATAACCCTCACCGACGATGGAGACCTCGCCCTAAAGGAAACGCATCCATATTACTATCAAGTGCGGCTGCAAATGTTTGTGTGCGACGTGGAGTATGCGGACTTTGTGCTCTGGAACTCGCAGATTGACGTCCAGCGAATTCCCCGCAGCAACACATTCTTGTGCGCTGTGATTGACCATGCTGCACGATTCTTCACGACAGTGGTGCTGCCAGAGCTAGTAGCAAAGTGGTTCACTCGTACACCTGCGGTGCAGCAACAGGACCATGGGGCACTTGCATCGGCAGCGGCTGTATCGCACCAGCCAAATAGTGATCCAAAGTACTGCGTGTGTGGTGGCCCGGAAGAGGGCAGCATGATCGCATGCGACAATGAGAACTGCACCATTGGGTGGTTCCATTTCAAGTGTGTGGGAGTGAAAAAGGCACCGTGCAAAAAGAAGTGGTTCTGCACCACATGCAAAGATGAAACACAAAAGAAATAACTTTGTGTTGGTACTATCCAACTCTTTGTGAAAACAAACCTCTGGAAACAGAAGCATCTAGCATGTGCTCCATGTACATTTAGTTGGTCAGCAAGTTCAAGTATTTGCTTGTACAGAAAAATGAGATCAGTCTGCAATTCTATTACTATTGTGCCAGGGTGTCTTGAGATTCTATGGTGTACTTGTGTATATAACTCACCAAATTGTTCTCTTCATCTTTTAGAGAGTGTTATTAAAGTGAGCATGTAATATTTTGAACATTCACTTGCTGAAATGGAGGATCAACGCACTACAATGTCCACTGGTTCTTTTGTGAAGTCACAGAAGAGAGGGCTTTAATGCCCGTGTCCCACTAGAGCAACAGACAAACAAAAGACAGCGACAAGCCTCAAACCCATGCAGCATGCTCGCGATGGAACCTTTGGCAGGCGTTTAGTCGTTCGGTGCTCGTAAAGTAAGCACGAGCGATTGCAAGCCTGCCAAAGACACCCTCGCGAGCATGATGCTTGTGTTTGAGCATAGCCTCCTTTATTCTGCAAAGACTCAAATTGCGAAAGACTCTGGATTGAGGCTTGTCGCTGTCATTTGTTTCTGTCTGTCGCTCTAGTGGGACACGGTCATAAGAGAATAGAAAGAACACAACTAGGAATCACGGTTCACCAGATAACCAGGAACTTTTTTATCTAGGACTAACAGATCAAGAAAAATTGCTCAATTTTCTTTCCAGCACAGACCACTTTTGAGTCTCCTCGGTGGGAGAGGGAGGTAATATTTAGAATAAATATGGCGTACTGTTCGCACGATGAAAACAAAATATGCAGACACAGACTGAAATTAATAAAACTGCACACTTTCAAAAACACTGGCATCAATTAAAGACATCAAGGCCGACCAAGTTCACGCGCATCTAAATATCCAAACATGCCAATCTTAAAAAAAGTTAGTTGTTTGCCCCTGATGTGTGTCCACTATGATCAGCAGCACCCATGGTGGAAACATGTACTAGAGCAGAAAACGGCAGGGTTCCAAAACCAGGGGAATCCAAAAATTACAGTGGTCGGAAAACTTATTCAGTACATGCGAGTCATAGTTTAATTCGAGGGAGCACTATGCTGGTGGCAGCTGAAAATAACTTCTTTGTGACGTGGTGGGCAATGAAACAACCCAAGCTGGGGAGTCAGCTGATTCAAGGCCAAGAAGGGTGACGCTGCAGCAGCGTCTGAAGAACATGGCAGGCAGTATTGAGTATTGCGACAAGAGTAGATGCCTTGTCAACGAAATTGAAGCCTTGTCGCTGGTCCAGCTGCGATTTCGGCCTAAGCGAGTGGCCTTCCTTGTTTGGGCTGTTCCATTGCCTGCCACATCACAGAGTGTTTTTTTTTTCGGCTGCAGCCAGGATAGCGCTCCCACACAATAAGCCATGGTGTGTGCGTTCTGAATAACTCTGACGAACACTGTACGAATACTGGCTTAGTCCATCGGCACAACTGAATTGCATATGTTTATGAGAGCGGAACACACTACGCCTATCTTATCTACAGGTGCGAAATCAGACTCTGATGATTTCATAAGTTCTACAGGGAGGGGACCTTTCAAAATGCTGTACTTGTTACGAACAAGGCCAATAACTCTCTCCACATGAATTCTTACATTTGCAAGCTCTCTCGTATAAAGGACGTCAGGGTGCTCAAGCTGTCGTTTCCCCCTTGCCGACGACGGTACATGCAGAGTAGCACAACATATGCCAGCACTTTCTGCTATCAAAAAGCCTCGGTCAGCTAAAACTACATCTCCATACTCCAGCATCGCTAGAATGCCGCAGTCTTCTGTGATAGTCTTGTCGCTAGCCCTGCCTCCGTACGACTTCGAAAGGAACGAAACACTCCCTTGCGGAAAAATCCCAATCAAAAACTTAACAGTATTGTGGTGTTTATACTGAGACCAAGTCGCAGCCCTGGTGATTAGCGAACTTGGTCGGTCAATGCCTCGAAGCAATCAAGAATCACAGTTACTTTCGTACCAAAGTTTCCACGAAAGACAGCAGGCATTGTCTTCGTGAGCTGCTCAGACGTGGGCCACCTGAGGCCAGATTCATAAAAAACCTCTTACCTACGACAACTTAGCTACGAAGTTCGTAAAGTTACGATCATCGTAAGATGAGGCGAGAACGGTATTCACAAACGCGTTCTTAAGTGAGAGGAGGAAAGTTACGACCTCTTACGGTGAAACGATGACTTCTGGTGCTGTTGCTATGGCAACGGCGTCTCTTCTTGCATAGTTCGGAGCACGTGGATTTTTAATAACAAACACAGGCTAACCACTCGTTGATAGACAGCTCTGTGTATGTCCTGTCCTGTCTGTGTGTAAATGTGTAATGTTCAAACTGATTCTCATAAACACGGGCGACCTTTCCACCACCGCTTGTCTGGGGTTCGTGCCCTTGCAGTGGTATATCGACGCTAACACGATTCAAACGCTTCGTTGACTGCTACAAACTCGATCGCTACGAAGTCAACACAACTGTCATCGTTGGTAAAAGCCCCGTGCCAGTCGTTTGCAAAGCGACGTAGAAGGAAACAAACCGCCGCGGCGTTTCTCGCGGCCTCGGAAATGCAGGAGTGAGCCGAC